AAAAAATGTCCATTAGTTATTATATATATCAGAATATAAAGAAAGGGCATTCTTTCATTGTAGATAAATCAATGTTTTTAAAAAGAATATGAACATTTTGCTAATCCTTTACCTTTAACTCTAAATTCGATGATAATAATCATATTTTCTTAATTATAAAGATGAAGTCCTCCGTAAAGACGCATATTCTAGTAACTAAATAATTATATCGCAATAGATACTATACATTTACTAAACTAAACACAAATATTGAACCTACATAACTAATTTAGTACATTCCGTAATTAAAAGGCCTTTTCGCTTTGTAATATATATATTTCTCTATACTGTATATATACGTAAAATGTTACCGATCATAGGAGAACTAAATTAAGATTAATAATGTAAAATTTCTTTAAGATCATTTGTGTTAATTATACGACAAAAAATCTAAATATTTTATTAATCCAACAACTAATTTTTTTTTCTTTTTGGATACTTTCCTTTAAATAAATTTACACTAAGAAAATTAATCAATCTTCTTTGATTTATAGAATAAATGTACCGCTCACATGATATTTCTAAACGTGATTGGTTACTTTGTGTTACACGTAAATTCATCTTCCAACAACTGTTTTTAATAAAGTACTTTTTAAAATTTTTAATAATAATTCCAGAATTCTCTAAAGTAAAGGATAAATTTAGTAATATAGAACTAAGTTCTTTGACACCAACAAAACAATCATAAAAGGTTGGTTTGATAAAGTAAATATTCTGGATATTAAATTAAATAATTCCAATGACTTTCACTTCGCTTAACTTACATACTTATAAATGATAAACCTAACGTTTTCAAGAACTTTGTAATAATTCATTTTTTCGTTATAAATAAAGAAATTATAGCTGATAGTAATATGAGTAATTTGGCCGAGTAGAGACAAACAGGAACAATAAAACAGGAAAGTGAATATGTACGTGTCAAAATATCCTATTTAAAATAAAGTACTACTCGATAAATTTGATCTTTTAATGCTTAATTGATGTAAGCATTTTTCAACTGATTCAATGATGACATCATTCATTATTATTATGGGTTAGAAATATTAAATTGCACTAACCTTATATTTAAAAAAAAGTATGTAATTATTATGGTTTTTAATAATTAGAGCAGCTATCATACATGGTAATAATTTGGCGCAGTGGTCACATAATTTATGTTGAATAAATAAGTAAAACTATATTTTAACTTACAAATAAAACTTTGCTCCGTCATTATTCAAAATCTAAAATATTTAATGCATAAAAATTTATGAAATATACTTAAGATTGATTTACTGGAAATAAAATATATCCATTTATTAATCTTAGTCAATTTACATCAGAATCTTAAAGAAAAATAATTATTATAACAATTGATAATGCGAAGGAAAATTTTCATGTTTAGAAAATTCAACTGATATTTTTGAGGGTTCTTTGTGAGCCAATTATTTTATGATACAATATGTCATTAAATATTTATAAGTGAAATATGAAAATTCGGGAGAAAATGAATATTTATAATTATTGTATCTAAATTAAATTTAAATTTTGGTATTTAAATGATTCAAATGGTTCAAACGTCATCAAAATAAACAACAGTCATTATATTATGAAATGATCCCAATTTTATAACAGATAAGTAAAGTATGTAAAATAATTATTTTCAATAAAATATTCTAAATAATAACTCTAATTAACCTTGTAGGATTCAATCTAATAAACTTTTCAATAGAAATTCCAAGTATTTATTTAGAATATATTATTTATTTGATACCGTTTATATGTGTGTTTAATGAACGATAATTTTAGTAGCAAGGTTAATGTTTTTGGCGAAACCAAAAATCCAAATTCAAACCGTTTCTTCTTTCATGTGGTAAAATCCGAGCTTTACGATAATCGCGAAAGCCTCTTGGATCATGTGATACAATAAAAATTGACCAATTGAATCAAGGCTATAAAGTCACGAAACGCTGTTCATTTTCTAGTCCATCAGTAAAAAAAAATTTTTAGAAAACATTGTATTTGGATTAATGTTCCAAATATGTCCCATTTGAGAAATAACTTTATTAGATGTCTCCTGGTAAGAAGTGAAACATGTTAATGCTCAAAAAGTCTTATTACTTTTATCTAGTTAAACGTGCAGATCATAACCTACTATCCTAAAAAATTTTATTTTATTTCGAAAGACTAGTATAAATAAATAATAAACTATTATATAACTATTTTATTTAGTTGATAATAAGTTTTGACTGGTTTCATCAATTTCGATAAGTTTCATCAGTATCAGCATGTGTCAAAAATTTCGGAATTTCAGAAATTTAAGAATTTGTCATACAGTGGGTTTGCCAAGTTTCGGAATCGACCCTCTCATATCTCGCCTATATATTAAGCAGAGTTCATTGAAAACGGGCCTTTCTCATATTTCATAGTCCCGTAATGGAATTCATAATTTATTAGCAACTGAAATTATACTTGATGAAAATGTTGGTAAATCAAAAAAATTTTTGATCATGTCATATTATTAGCGAGAAATGAAAAAATAGAAAGCTAAAATTACACTGAAATGTGCAAATTTATCCACTTTTCAGACTCGTTAATCACACAATAATGACGTAGTTTTAAAATGATTCATTTATTACGCCTGCGAGCAGATTTGTGTTAACACACACTTTTTAGATTATAGCGCAGCAAGTAGCAAATGCCAATATTGGTACATTATAAATTATCTAATTGATCCATTTTAATATGTAAACTTCGACATGATTCAAATAACTTTAAAAAGTATCTACTAAAAAGTGAACAAAGAACGGACTACGATTTGTTCTTCAATGCAAACTTAATTTGATTCACGTCTCATCATACCAGCCTTAGGAGAAATTTCATGCAGTGGTGAATATTTAATTGCAATCCGTCGATAGTCACCGTAAATTAGACCGCAGGCGATAACATTATCTAAAAAAACCAAATATTAATTTCAAATATCAAATGTCGATTTTTAATATTCTAAAAAAAATCGTATTATTACTATTTTATTTCTTTATTAACCGATCAGAATATTTTATTCGCTTATAGTAGTAGTACTGGAATTACAAATATTCATAACTAAGCTCGGAGCGAGCGAGAAAATATTTGTTTAGATATTAATTAATCCAGGTTTTAGGTTAAAGATTCTGAACTTCTTTAATTTTATTTTTATGAAATGTTTATCTGAGAGCATTAATTGTTTCTTCCTTGTTTTAAATTCATTTTTTTTTCGATCTCTCAATTTTAATAACCACACCAAATTATTACTTAAATTTCTTCCAACAACAAGACATTAAATACCAGTCATTATTCATAGCTTCTGGCTTATAGATGATATAACAACAGTTGAACTCTAAGCTATAATCTTTGTGTTTCTATAAATTCTAGATGACAATTAAGAATTAATTATGAAAAGTTACTTTGGCTTCATTACAAAATAGTGTATGTACTGCGGATTATAACTGAATTTGTAAATTTCTTATAATATTTATGTGCTGATTTTGACTTTATTTAAATTTAAAATTAAAAATAATTCTTAAAAATATCATGTAAAATTGATATAAATATAACAAAAAATTAATAGCCAATTTTATATACAGTAGTAACTATCAATGTTAAATTTTTCGTGATAAATATAAATTTAATAAGCTCAATTATTTTCAGTAACATTCATCATCCGAATTATCAATTTTAGTATATTTTCTTATTTTTATTACACCACTAAAAGATTTGTTGTTTGATTTAAATATAAAAAAGAAAAAGTCCAAATGTAAGACAATAGAAAATATATTACATTATATACTGTACATTTCGTACAGTTCGATACTTAGCATGTCGACCCACCTCGACCACCCGCCAAGCAAGATGCATCCATATAGTATTTTTCTTTTTGGGATAGTGATTTTAAACTATCTTTAAGTTAGTTAAAAGAAATAACTAAAACAATTGTAATTTATTATGTTTTTTTAAAAAAATTTAAAACTTTTTTTCGTCATAAAATTAACCAAAAAATAATCATGAGATTTTTTTCTTCAATAAACAATTACTTTGCATAATCTTTATTAACTAAATTAGGTAATTAAAAAAGTATATTATTCTTAAACTAAACTAAAAAAAGATAGTATGAGTTCTTTTTCTTAAAAAAAAAATTGTAATCCGATGATTATCAGTTACCTAATTTACTGAACTATATACTACTTTTAATTATGGTAAAATTATGACACTACAATAGTACTTAAAAATAATTTAGTACATCAAAATGATTACTAGGATGGACAAAATTGTCCAACTAAACTTGTATATTTGACAATTTGGCCATTCAGTAAATTGTATATAAATGAATATATAACAAAAGTTATTGTGTGAATTTTATTTGTTATCAATAATTATAGGTAAATACAAATATTACAGAGCGCAAAATGAGGTACTAGTAATATATTCTCTTTTATTTCGTTACTTCCTGCTGATATAAAATTAATAAGCTTAATTATATTCAACAATATTCATCATCTTGAATTATCAACTTTAGTATATTTTCCTATTTTAGTTAAAAAAAAATGTTATAAATTGTTGTATGAAAACTATAGATACTATTTATTATGTGCGTAAATAAAAATTTACTTACTATTTTCTTGAGTTTCATTCGTTTCATTGTTTAATTCCTCAAAATTACGCTTTCTTGAAAATTTTACGGGTACAGTTAAGCTTTGAGTAACGGAATTTGTATTCTGTGTGGATGATCTGAAAACGTACGATATATTATTAACAAGTTACATATATTTATATATTAATAATTAATTACCTTTGAATATTATTTATATCAAATTCATATTCTCGTGTGATATATTCTAAAAATTAATAAAAGCCATCTAAGTTGATATAAAACTTAAAGAAGTAAATTCAATTATCATTATCTGATCGTCTAACTTAATGCTTCAGATTTTTTCATTAATGGCTAATTATAACTTCATACCTTGTTTAACATTATATGAGATCATTGAAGAAGAATTTATAGTTGAAGCTTTTGAAATTAAAGAACTTAATGCTCTACTTGTATAAATTGCTTTTGGATGAGATTTTTCACTAAATTCGGGTCCAAGTTGCTTTAATTGTATTAATTCCAATCTTTTTTTTTCAGCTTGCTCAAGTATTTCGTTTCCATACATTTTGATAAAAGAATCCCTGATTTCATATCTAGTTGGTCTTTTTAAAGGGTCAGAATCCCAACATTTTTTCATTAAATTTGCAAAACATTCAGGGGTATCATTTGTAATTTCAGGGCGTTTTCCATCTATAATTTCATAAATAAGTTCAAGATTGTGTTCAATATTTGCAAAAGGTTTGCAACCTGTTGTAACTTCCCACATAATCATACCAAAACTATATATATCAGATTCTTTTGAAAATGCAGCACCTTTAAATATTTCTGGTGCGATGTAAGGTATTACTCCATATATTTCATTATTTGATAATGTATTGTTTGCAGGTTGTGATAATCCTAAGTCTCCAACTTTCCAATCCGTATTTGACAATAACATATTTCCACTATGAATATCTCGATGTATAAAATTATTTTTATGAACATTTTCGAGTCTAAAATAAAGCATTTAATTGTTAATAAACCAACTATAAATTAGAAAATAGATTAATTCACTAAAAATATACAATAAATACCCAAATAATATTCCTTGTAAAATAAACAATTTGCCGTCCCATCTAAGATTTATAAAGTTCTTTTGCAAATAATCATGCAAATTTCCACCTTCTGCATAGGGCAATATTAACATATATTCTTTTGTTATAGGATCTTGTGTAATGCCATAACAGTCAATTACCCAATAATTTTTACATTGATAAAGTGATCTTAGCTAAAGAATTAATAAGTCAATTAATACAATAAGACATTGCAAGTATATAAAATTTAGTAAATATTACCTCATTTAGAAAATGTTTACTGATATTTTGTGAATCACGCAATTTTTTTACAGCAACATCAGTTCCCTCCCAAGTCGCTTTATAAATAATACTGAATCCTCCTTCCGCTATTTTCTTTAAATTCGTAATTTGAGAATATGGAATCCACTCTATTCCTATGATTGGAAGATTATTACGAATAAACGAATGCACCTCAAATGGACTACGAATTGTCTTTTTCATATAATTAGCAATAGAATGGAGATTCTTATTGTTAATTCTTGTAGAGGCAAGAAATTCCTCTATAATGTAATTTTCACTTCTGATATCTGTAATATCAATTCTAATGAATGAAATTCTTTTGCATTTCTTACATTGAGATTGATCTGCAATTCCAAGAATTATATTTGTTGTTAAACAATACCTACATCCAGTATAAATTATATGGCAATGTAAACACCATTTTTGACAATAAGATTTTGACTCTTGTTGTATATATTTTAGTTCTTGATAACAAACTACACATTGATTATGACTATCCCACCATGGTAAATATAGAATCGGAATAGACTTTTTAGTCAAAGTTGATTCTACCCATCCAGCAGAAGAAAACTGGTAATCACAATAATCAGGAATTAAATTATAACAATAAACTAACGATTTATCTTTTGTGACTACTTGTGTAAAATATAAAATCTCAGAACAATATTCGCACCATTCTTGAATGTTTGTTGAATAAAAATTATTTCTGGTTGCTTTATGCTTAATGCACTGAGAATTATTTGTACTTATACGTGCGTCCAAGTGTGTATTATTGTCTGTTATATATTGAATATACCAAAATAAACAATTTTTGCAATATTTTTGTCTAAGCTTGAGTGTCTCAGAGTATTCAATTCCACAATAATTACATTTTTCCTCATTATTTTTAAAAGGAATAAATAAAACAGGTACAGGACTAGATTTTAATTTTGATGTAGGATCAAATGGATTGTTATCTGTATTCATAATGTTGTGTTGTATTTCAAGAAAATAGTTTATAAAAATTAAATGTAAAAATCATAAAGCAATATTTATGAAGTTACATAACAAAGTGAAATTCTACAGAAGTTTTCTTTAAATATTCTATATAGAAATAGTTGTACAGTATATTGAAAATCCGCCATCATGCATAAATTTCAAGCAAGATTTGCTTGCTCAATTTAGAAAGTTTCGCGGCTTAAATTCTCCGTCAATGAATATTATTTTGTAAACCTGTACTACCAATCTGAAATTATGTGACGATCAATTTGACCTAGAATTTTCTTTTTTTACGATGAAATAATCAAATAACGATAAAAACTATAAACTTTCTTAATAAACTATAACATGTCGTTTCATCAATTCTTTTTATTATTTAGAATTTGGGCTTTGGAAAGTAATCTTGCTAATATTTTATACCTTGTGTAATTATGTAATTATAAGCCATTGCAGAAACTTGATTTCCTTAATATGCAGTAACTGCGTATTTACTATATTTTCACACTATGTAGTTACTGTATGACTACGATGCAGTTGCAATACAGTTACTGCACATTAAGGAAAACAGGTTTCTGTAATGTGAATATATTATCGTATACTTGTAGCCAAAAACCCCCCTAATTTTGGCCTAGTTTGGTTTAGTATTGGTTTTCAAAAACATTTCCCGAACCTGAATAGGTAAAACGCCAAAATAACCATGAAAATCATTCCTTTTTCAGATAATTTTCGATAATGTTGATCAGAATTTTATTACTTATTTTTAGTAGCTGGCTGACATTATCATAATTCCGGCCCTGAAAAAATGCGTAGAGCTAATAGTAAACTTTTGCTAATTTCCTATGACCTATTTATACCGTATATCGCGGGCATAGTTCCCGGGTATTTGTAAATTTCGGAGATTTGGTCCTGTCCCCCCTCCTCCATTACGTGAATTTTTACTAGTATTAATAGAGGGTGTTTAAAACTTATAAAATAACTAGGGTATTGTTGCACGTCACACCTAAGATATTCGTTGGATTATTTAAATAATAAAATCAACAAAGAATGTGACTTCTTTTTTGAGGGGTACTATACATGATGGGGGTACTATAGCCCCCTATACACACAGTGAAATTCGATAAACCGGATCTTCGATAAACCGGATTTGGGCCTAAACCGGACTTTTTTGCTGGAACCAAATCACGTATATTAAAATAGGTTCGATATACCGGAGTTTACTAGTAAAAGCTCGATATTCGCTATTACGGATCAATTTCTAACCAGCTATAGTAAAAAATGATTCGATAAACCGAATCACGTGATTATTAGCCAATAAAATTTAAGTAACGTGATGCGGTAAATCTTAATTTTGGCCGGAATTATAAAAATATTAATTCCGGCTGAAGTTTTGTATTACTTATATATTTAATTAAAATATTTTATATTCATTTTCATGACCTCTATGACTTAAAACTAAGATGAAAAATTTAATTATAGTGTATATTAATTTTATTAGCATAAAAATTTTTTAAAAATTCTGTATAATAGATTTTCAATATATCGAAATTTTTTCGCTAAACCTATCCCGATAAACCGGATATTTTTAGTGGAACCGACAGATCCGGTTTATCGAATTTCACTGTGTATATAATCACATCATATAAAATTCCCCTTTATAAGCACACCATATTTTGGCCCAATGTACTAATAAATATATTAGAAAAAGTCACACCCTTTTTTTCGCCGAGGGGTGCGACTATAAAGGGGGTAGACTGTATAGTCAGATCAAGTAATCAGCTGATCGATCTAAATCTACATCTTAAATCCAGATTTAACGTAGTATAATCACATACTTCCCTTATTTTCTTTCCTTTTCCTCTCTCACTCTCCTTATTCTCCTATAATAAACACTAATGGTATAATCTATTAAGGATTTAATTAAATTTTTTAATTAAAAGTTGATCGGTTCTTTAAAGAGGGCATCTTATTAGCAAGATATGGAAATGTTTTGGCTCCAACAGAACGTGAAGATTTTATTCTGAGGCATTAATAACCAAAGAAGTGGATGATAATAAAATTTAAAATTCACAGTTATAACTTTTTTTTATTATACTGTAGCAAATAAGTAGTAAATAGTAATTTAAAATTTAGCATTTTAGCGTACTAGTAATAATAATGTAAAAATTTAAATAAGGCTGCTCCAATGAATAGTTCGTTTAACATCAATCCCCCATTTTTGCCAAAAAATTGGATTTAAACAAACACTTTGAATTAAATATTATTGGTCAATTAGCTTTATTAGTCATATGATTGTTTAAAATTTTTTATGCTTAAAATTTTATTATGACCCCCCCCTCAAATTTTCTTGTGCCATTTGCTTGATGTTAAACGAAACTATTTGTCGGCCTAATGATAATTAATTAATAAATAATAATATCTGATATAATCATAAAAATAAATGTATGTTATATTTTAGTAACAAAATAAATGAAAAACACATATTAAAAAATTGTTTTGTAAGTTTTGGACTTTTCAGCCTATAATAAAGATAGTTTCGGCCTATATAAAGTTTCGGCATTAGTTTCGGACTTGGGTTTCAGACTTTCGGATTCAGCCATATCTTTGGGATGTTTCGGCTCAAGTATATATTATCGTAAGTTCGTTGCACGCACGTTCAAAAATAAAAACAATAATGTTATTAAATGTCTATGTTCATTAATTTAATATTAATTTAATGAATAAAAAAAAGAACACGGATTTTATTGAAAAGTGGTGTTAATATTTCTATTAGCTAATAAATAGAAATGCAAACTTACTACAACGTTAAGATCTTACTTTTGAAAAAATGATTGTTACTTGTAGACGCAAACGAACCTTTGTACACGTTTTTTATAAATATTGACTATTGACAATGATTACTATCTTTGGTATAAAATTTTTATAAGATTGATTATTATACTGTACATAATATTCGTCTTATATCGCTAGATACTATATATCCAATTTTAATTTCAATATCAGATATCTAATTAATTATTTCTCAATATTATGTAAAAGTTTTAAACTCGTCTGATGAGTGATTACTGATTACCGATCAATAGAATAACAAAATAAGAAAAATCGTATAAACTTAAATATACAGCAACTACTTATTCATGATTGAATAATAATTACATTCCGTCGCTTGTATAGTAAATTCAAAAACTCTAATACATAAAAATAACTTTAATATACGGTCGCCATAAAAAAAATATGCCTGAAAAATTTTATTCCGTGTTTTTTTATTCCATGTTATTTCCATAAATTTATCATATTCACGGAATTTACAGCTTCAAACCATGGAAATTATCAAAGTTTCATAGACTTTTAGTTATTTTTCTGTAAATTTATCATATTCACGCAGAAATTACGGATAAAATTCTTTACAGTGATAGTTTGAAATCCTCTAATAAATAAATATTTATAAGTTATAACCTTTAAATATTACTATGTATAATTAATTAGTCCGTCCTTCGCATTATAGTTTCTAGAAAAGGTCCATTATTTCCAATTAATGACATAGAATATATCGGTCAATGCTAAAGTTTGCTGACATATAAACATTAGTTCTTGCAAGCAAATTGTACGCTTATTGTTGTTATCTCATCATGGCGAATAAAGAATTGATTTGGCTTTTCAGTTTAATAAAAGTTAATTCTACCCGTTAAGAAAAATTTACACAATCTGGAATATGTTTCAAATAACCCCTTCTTGTTTTCTTTGGTGGGTAGATTTCCTTATTTTTTTTGTTTTTACAGTAACGAAATGTCTATGATTATGATTTGATTTTTCTTTTTTTTTTAGACGGTCTGGACTGGTGAGAAATCAACTTAAATACTTAGCCTTAGATATCCTAGTCACCTATTATTAGGGTTGTAAAATTACGGTATTTTAAAAATTTTGGCTGTAACTTACAATACAAGTTATGTAAGTTACATGTAACTTACATCGGAAGATTTAGGAAATATAACGGAATAATTCGGAAATATTAATGATGAGAAACTATAAATCATATAATAATAATTTGAACCAATAGAAATTAAGAATTTATGTATATATATAATGTAAGTTACGTTAGGCTAATGTAACTTACAATGTAATTTACGTGTATTGTAACCTATGTAACGTAACTCTCACAACCCTACCTATTATACTTACGGGAAATGTACAATATTTATAATTTGCATTAGCTGATTATTTCCTTTGTTGTCTGGAGCGAAGCGTAGGACATTAGACTTGTGTGAAAATTGATCAGTCACGTGAGGATTTTGTCACGTCGTCACGTCTGATAAGATCAATAACTAGTAAAATTGTGCAATGAGTTGTATAATGAGAATAACACATTTAATTAATAATTTATTGATTAATAAAAAATATAAATTTCGGTTTGAACTCTTAACGGTTTCCGTTTCCTAGTGTATCTAAAATTGATGTATCAATATTATTTATTACAAAATTGTTAATAAACGTATTTGTTTTATTAAAGGCAATTTCTATTTGTACACGGGGTGTTTGAACCCGGGTCATGTGATTATTGCCATTTTGACTAATAGTATAAACTTCAAAATTAGTAGATAAATGGATTTTTGCCTGCTCTACAAGTTTACCTAAGGCATCAAAGGTGCTTTTGAATGTCAGTTTTGACTTTACTTATGAATAATTGATTTTGCCGATCGCTCTTAAAAAAATTTAGGAAATGATCGGCAAAGACAGTTTTTCATATATAAGTCAAAAACGGCATTCAAAACCCCCTTTGATGCCTTAAGTAAACTTGCAGAGCAGTCAAAAATACATATATTACATAGAAAAAGTAAAAGGGTGTGACATTGGTGTCATTATATTTCACATGACCCGTGTTCAAACACCCCGTGTAAACTTTGAAATTTTCTTTATTAAATTATATCTGACATTTATTAAGATTTTTTTATAAATTTATGGTTTCTTAAGATAGATAGTACTTAAAAATAATTTAGTATATCAAAAACGATTACTAGGATGGACAAATAAAAATTGTCCATCTAAACTTGTATATTGGACAATTTGGCCATTCAGTAAATTCAGTTGTCTATAAATGAATATATAAATAATAGTTATTGGGTAGGGGGGTTGAAATGTCACCGAACTGCGAAGCAGTTCGGATGATATTTTAACCCCTCTACCTAATAACTGTGTTATTATGCAGACGTCCAAGATCATGTTCCATATGAAAAGCATAGTAAATGCGTGATAATAATCTATATGACGTAATGCGTCAAAAATATCAAAGATATTTACGCAATAATAATTTATTTAAAAAATATCGGTATGTTAAAAACAACATAATCCTACTTGGCTGCATGATAACAAAAGTTATTGTGTGAATTTTATTTGTTATCAATAATTATAGGTAAATACAAATATTACAGAGCGCAAAATGAGGTACTAGTAATATATTCTCTTTTATTTCGTTAATTCCTGCTGATACAAATTTAATAAGCTCAATTATATTCAACAACATTCATCATCCGAATTATCAGCTTTAGTATATTTTCCTATTTTAGAAAAAAAAAAAAAAAAAGTTATAAAATTGTTGGCATGAAAAACTATAGATACTACTATTTATTACATGCGTAAATAATGAGTTTACTTACTATTTTTTTGAGTTTCATTCGTTTCATTCTTTAATTCTTCAAAATTACGCTTTCTTGAAAAATTTACAAGTCTTTGAGTAGCGAAATTTGTATTTTGTGTGGATGATATTATATTATTATTTATTTATATTATTAACAATTTACATACATTTAAATATTAATTAATTACCTTTGAATATTATCTATATCAAATTCATATTCTTGTGTAATATATTCTAAAAATTAATAAAAGAAATCTAAGTTAAATATGAATATTAAGAAATAAATTAAATTGCTTTTATCTGATCATATCAAGTTTTTTACATTAATTGTTAATTATCAATGTACTGTAAAATAGTAAAATACCTTGTTTCACATTTAATGAGATCATCGAACTCATAGTTGAAGCTTTAGAAATTAAAGAACTTAATGCTCTACTTGTGTAAATTGCTTTCGGATGAGATTTTTCACTAAATTCTGGTCCAAGTTGCTTTAATTTTATTAATTCCAATCTTTTTTTTTCAGCTTGTTCAAATACCTCGCCGCCTCCATGCATTTTGCTAAAAGAATTCTCGATTTCATAACTAGTTGGTCTTTTTAAAGGGTCAGAATCCCAGCATTTTTTCATTAAATTAGCAAAACATTCAGGGGTATCATTTGTAATTTCAGGGCGTTTTCCATCAATAATTTCACAAATAAGTTCAACATTGTGTTCAATATTGGCAAAAGGTTTACAACCTGTTGTAAGTTCCCACATGATCATACCATAACTATATACATCAGATTCTTTTGAAAATGCAGCACCTTTAAATATTTCTGGTGCGATATAAGGTACCACTCCATATATTTCATTATTTGATGATGAATTATTTGCAGGTTGTGATAATCCTAAGTCTCCAACTCTCCAATAGCATCGAGATAATAACATATTTCCACTATGGATATCTCGATGTATAAAATTATTATTATGAATATTTCGGAGTCTAAAATAAAACATTTAATTGTTAATAAACCAATTGTAAATATAGAAAATAGATTAATATACTAAAATATACAATAAATACCCCAATAATATTCCTGTTAAAATAAACAATTTGTCGTCCCATCTAAGATTTATAAAGTTCTTTTGCAAATAATCATGCAAATTTCCACCTTCTGCATAACTCAACATTAACATATATTCTTTTGTTATAGGATCTTGTGTAATGCCATAACATTTAATAATCCAAATATTGTTATCATCACATTGATAAAGTGATCTTAACTAAAGAATAAATAAATAAATTAATACAATAATTATTAAAAAACACATTGCAAATATATAAAATGTAAATATTACCTCATTTAGAAAATGTTTACTAATATTTTGTGAATCACGCAATTTTTTTACAGCAACATCAGTTCCTTTCCAAGTCGCTTTATAAATAATACTGAATCCACCTTCTGCTATTTTCTTTAAATTCGTAATTTGAGAATATGGAATCCACTCTATTCTATTGACTGAACGAAGTTTATCACGAATAAACGAATACATTTCAATTGGGCTGCGAATTGTATCGTTGTCCATATAATTAGCAATCAAATGATAATTATCATTTTTAATTCTTGTAGAATCAAGAAATTCATCTATAATGAAATTTCCACTGCAAATGTTTGTAATACCAATATTAATGAATGAAGTTCTTTTGCATTTCTTACATTGAGATTGATCTGCAATTCCAAGAATTATATTTGTTGTTAAACAATACCTACATCCAGTATAAATTATATGGCAATGTAAACACCATTTTTGACAATAAGATTTTGACTCTTGTTGTATATATTTTAGTTCTTGATAACAAACTACACATTGATTATGACTATCCCACCATGGTAAATATAGAATCGGAATGGACTTTTTAGTCAAAGTTGATTTTACCCATCCAGAAGAAACCTGATAACCTGATGACTGCTTCTTGTAATTACAAACTCCGCAGTGTTCATTTATACTACCGAAAATGTGCAAACAAGATGGATATCCTATGAATACTTGTGTAAAACATAAAATCTCAGAACAACATTCGCACCATTCTTGAATGTTTTTTGTATAAAAATTATTTCTAGTTGCTTTATGTTTAATACACTGAGAATTATTTGTACTTATAAGTACGCCCAAGTATGTATTGTTGCCTGTTATATATTGAATATACCAAAATAAACAATTTTTGCAATATTTTTGTTTAATTTGTGTCTTGGAGTATTCAATTCCACAATAATTACATTTGTCCTCATCGTTATTAAAAGGAATAAATAAAACAGGTACAGGACTAGATTTTAATTTTGGAGTAGGATCAAATAAATTATTATCTATGCTCATAATGTTGTATTTCAAGAAAATAGATTATAAAAGTTAAATGTAAAATTATAAAGCAATATTTATATTTTATGAAGATACAATAACAAAGTGAAATTCTACAGAACTTTTCTTTAAAGAATCAAGGATATTCTATATAGAAATAATATAATTATGCATATTGAAAATCCGCCATCATGCATAAATTTCAAGCAAGATTTGTTGCTCAATTTAGAAAATTTCGCGGCTTAATTTCCGTCAATGAATATTATTTTGTAAATCTGTACTACCAATCTGAAATTATGTGACGATGAAATAATCAAATAACGATAAAAATAAACTTTCTTAATAAACTAAAACGTGTTGTTTCATCAATTCTTTTTATTATTTATAATATGGGCTTTTGGAAAGTAACATTGCTAATATTTTATAACTTATGTAATATAATATATTATCGTAAATTACACGCACGTTCAAAAATAAAAAACAATAATGTTATTAAATGTCTAATGTTCATTAATTTAATGAATAAAAAAAAGAACACGGATTATTGAAAAGTGGTGTTAAGTGAATATTTCTATTAGCTAATAAATAGAAATGCAAACTTACTACAACGTTAAGATCTTTTTTTGAAAAAAATGATTTTTTACTTGTAGACGCACTCAAACCTTACACGTTTTTTATAAATATTGATTGTTGACAGTGGTTATTTTGGTATAAAATCCCTTATAAATGAAATAAATAAGTTTAATTTTTTGTATTTTGTATATAAGCTAAATATTCAATAAATGACCGAAAATGAACCATTATATAATATTCGTTCTATATCGTAATAGATATTTAAATTTTACAAATAAATCTAATTTTAAATTTATTAGACTAAACACAAATATTAAATATAAAAGACTAATTTAATACATTCCATGATTAAAATGATTTTCATTTCATAATTTATTTCTCAATACGATGTAAAAAAAAGGTTTAAACTCGATTAACCAATCAATAATAGAATTTAAGATATATTTTTTTAATAAGAAAATTTTCTTAAGATCATTTGAGTTAATTACACGATAAAAACTTAAATATATTATTAACTCAGAAGACTACTTCAGTTTTTTCTTTGGATACTTTCCTTAAAATAAATGCGTCCCAAATCTTTGATAGAATATCATTAAATAATTACACTATTCTTTTTACGCATCCAATTAATATATTCACTTGTACAATAAGTTCAAAACTTAAAAATAACTTTTTAAAATATTGTATGGTCGTCAATAAAAGAAAAATATTTTTTAAACTCTTTTAATAAAATAAGTACTTTATAACCTTTAAAATATTACGTATAATTACTAATTATTCCAGAGCGGAGCGAATATTGTCTATAAAGGGTATATTTTTTCTAATCAATGACTTAAAGAAATATATCAATCAATGTTGAAGTTTGACATATAAACATTAGTTATTATAAACAATTTGTACGCTTACAATATCATTGTTATCCCGTTATGGTAAAAAAATTGAATTGGGCTTTTTAATAAAAGTGGATTCTATCTATCTGTTTAGAAGAAATTTTATAACAATTTGGAACATATTCAAATGATCACTCAATCTACATAATTAATAGGATGATGACATGTAGATGATAAATAAACATCGGATGGTGAATAATTTGGGGTTATTTGTTAAAATATGAAACCTCGGAAGTTGGAACAACATCCACATCATTTTAATTTTGTTTTTAGAATCTATTTCATATTCTTCATTGTTTAATTTCCGAAATATATAAAAAAGTAATTATTACGAATATATTGTGAAATTATTATCAAACTATTACATATTAATCTATTACTAAAAAAGCCAAGTTCTTAATGTCGCTCTCCTATGACGTAAAAGTTAGGCATGTCAAACTCGATCGGATCGATCGGTTAGGTTGTACAAATATCTGTGATGTACAGTAGGTACACGAACCACTCCTTCATCTTTTTAAATCTTTGCAATAAAAGTCATTAATAAAATATGTAATTCTTTCCTTTTACGATTATAAATTCCGTCAAATAAAAAAAAAAAAAACGACGATCATTACAGATTTACGGCCAAATTAGGCGGAATATGAAATAACTGACAAAGTAAATATTTCCTGATCGCCGATCATCTATCTCCATGGAATATTAGGTCCGAATGATCGACAAATCAGGAATGTGGTGGCTTAGTTATAATTCTGACCTGTGCGACAATATATCGGGACCACCACTCCGAAAAGTAATTAATTTCCTATTTTAACGCATTTTTTTTTTTTTTCAAACGAATTCTTTCTTCATCCTCTTTTTTTTTTCTTTCTCCCTCTCTCTTACTTCGCTTTACAATATGGCATGTTCAAAAGTATTTTCGGGAAAATTACCGGAAATAACTGATGACATTGTACAATATTTTCGAAACGATTATAAAACGTTACATTCATGCGTTTTAGTTAATAGAGCATGGTGTCGTATAACAATTCCATTATTATGGAAAGAACCATTTTCAATTCCTGTAAAAAATTATCATTTTATTGAAATTTATTTACACAATTTAAATGATTATGATAAAACAAAATTAAACGTATGTGGAATTAATAATAAAATATTTCCATCAAAAACTTTATTTAATTACCCAAGTTTTATTCAAAGAATAAATACATTTAAAATTGAACAATCTATTGAAAAATGGATTACATCTATTGGAGTATTAAAAGATATGACAACAATTGTTAAAACATTAATTTATAAATTATTATTTAAAATATTTATTAATAATGAAGTAAATTTACGTACATTTGAAATTTTAATAACAACAGATCAAGATCATAGAAATTTTAATGAAATTTTTGAATTAATTTTACAAAAACCAAATTTCATTTGTAATATAAGAAATTTCAAACTTCAAAGAATTGCGAATGTAAGAAAAATTCTTCAATTTTTAGAATTTATAAGTTTAAAATGTAATTCAATTTCATCAATAAATTTTCAATTTCAAAAATTTAATGATGAAAATAATTTATTGGTTAAAAAATTTTTATCAAGTATAATTAATTCACAACAAAATTTAAAGAAAATATCATTCGAATATGATGATCTTCCTTTACTTAATGATTTATTAATTTTAAATAATTCATTATCATTAGTATTAGATAATTCTTTATTATTATTAAATAATAATATTAATTGTTCAAATACATTAAAAACTATTATATTTCATAAGATTAATTTTAAAAATTTAAATAATTTAAAACAAGTATTCGAACAATTAAATAATTTAGAATCCGTTCATATTATTTATTGTCGTTTATTAAATTATGAACTTATTCAACAAATTATTAATATAACTAAACCATTTAAATTAAAATCATTATTTATGGATGAAATATTACAAATTGATTCATTAGAATTATTATTACAAAAATCAGGTGATTATTTAGAAAATTTTGGTTTTGGTTCATTTTCAAATGATTCTTATATTCGTAATGAATTAATTAATGAATTAAAACAACAATTAATTGATTTAATTATAAAATATTGTACAAAAATTGAATTATTCGATTTATTTGAATGTAATATTAATATTATTTATCCAAAAATATTCAATTTAATTCAAAATATTGATCAAAATCTTTATTATCTTTCTATTGA